TATTGTACATAGGGTCTTCTATGAAGAATGTGGCATCAACATCAGAGGAAGGCTTATCAATAACCTCTATTATATAGATCACACAAGTTTGCTTGCTGAAAATGAGGAAAACTTGAAGCACTTGTTGCAGAAGATCAAATAATAAGCCTTGAATATAGATTGTATCTCAATGTCAAAAACCAAAAGTCTTTACCACTGGACTGATAGGTAACATCACGATAGATAGAGAAAGGATTGAAACTGTCATCAACTCCCTCCTACTTGGATCCACAATTAACACCCAGGATACTAGCAGTCAGAAAAATCAAGAGATATATTGCACTGGGGAAGTCTGCAGTCAGGGACCTCTCCAAATTCTTGAAGAGCAATGATGTCAGTTTGAAGACTAAGGTGTGTCTGATCCAGTCCATAGTCTTTCCAATCACCTGCTACACATTAAAGGATGGACAACGAACAAGGATGACAGAAGAAGAAGTGTTGCCATTGAGCTGTTGTGTTTCAAATGAGTGCTGAATATCACATGAACTGACAAAAAGACAAACAAATATGTCTTGGGGAAAATACAGCCAGAGTTCTCCTTGGAGGCAAAGATGATAAAGCTTCACCTCACATACGTTGGACATCTAGTTAGGTGAAGCTATTTCATGGAGAGGTACATCATTCTTGGAAAGCAAAGGGTCCACGAAGGTGATGAAGACCCTCAACGAGGTGGATTGACACAGTGACTGTTGTAATGGGCTCTAGTGTGTCAGGAAGTGTGAGGACAGCACAGGATAGGACAGGGTTCAGATCTGCTGTTTATTGGTCACTATGGGTCGTACTCGACAGCACCTAACTGTTAGGTTAGTTTAGGTTGGTGGACTTAAAGAAGAAATCACAGAGAACAAGAGAAAGCTTAATGCTGCTTTATTAAAGGGGGGGTGAAGGGGAGCTCCCGGGTGAGTTCCTCATCCTGTAGAGGCAGAACGGGAAGTCACACTGTGAACTTACCGGGGAGGATTTTTATAAACAGAGTCTTTAGGGAGGGACATTCCATTCTGATTTATGAGCCACCTGCTAGCTTAGCCAGACAGGCAAGGCCGTTTTCTCTTCTTATCAGCAACAAGCAAGGCCATCAGCATTTGAGTTCTGAAGTCTTCATTCTTCTCTTTGGCCCACGTTGCCCAGACTAACACTAACAACAACATATCCCTATTCCTATCTAATGTACATCTCTCTGTGTACACATATATCCAATCCTTGGAAAAAGTCATCGTGCTGGGAAAGGTTGATGGCCAGTGAAATGTAGGAAGGGCTTCAATCAGGTTCATTTACACAGTGACTGTAACAATGGGATCAAATATGTTGAAGAACATCATGATGGCACAGGACAGGGTAAGATTCAGAGGGTTTTATTCAGAGCCACTCTGTTTTTCAAAGGGTCTCTCTGAGTCCTAGTTGACTTGACACCACCTAGTAAAAGTTTTACTGCCAACCCAAATGTACAGAGTTCAAATCCATCTACTGCTTCCCAGGAGAAGGATGAGCAATCTCCTCCCATGCAACTTATTGCTTCTAAAACCCCTTGAAGAGTCAGCTATGAGTTAGTGCTAACTAGATGGTGTCAAGTCATAGATGAGTCATAGCAATCTCATGAATGAAAGACCTGAACACTTGTTTAACTTTCATCATTTCTCCAGGTTCATAGAGTTTCCGGAGGTAAGCTATTTAGGAAGTGGATGCCACTCCTGCTTCCAAGCTTGTTTTAATTGGGGAGCTCCACCAAACACAAAGTCATATTGGAGAAGGACATCATGCTTGGGAGGGTGGAGGGACAGC